GGGAAAAAATTTAAAAAAAAAAAAAAGAAGGAAAAAGACAAATCATCATAAAAAAAAAGACAAATTAAAGCTCCTCTAGAGCTTTTAATTTAGAGCTCTTAAACATTTTTGTATCGAAAACTATAGGTTAGTCAAAGCTCAAGCTTACGGCGGCATTAATTGTAAGTTTATTTATTTACTTATTTTAAAATAAAATAATATATATAATTTCATTACTCATCACATTTACATAAATCCTAGGTACATTTATTTAATGTGAGTTATATTTTCCTGTCAAGAGTGACAAAATTGGATAAACTGTTATTGAAAACTTAAAACCAAAAATTATTATTTATTGAAAATTTGTACTAAAATGTTTGGTGAAATTTCTGTTTAATTTATGAGAAAAAAATAATTTTAAAAAATTAAAAAAATTGATTATTGAAAAGCATGAAATGAGTGTTTTTAGGTTCATTATCAACTTTTAACTTATAAAAAGATGTATCAAACATATCTTCTGTCCTTTCTTAAGTGGGATTTTAAAATCTAACCAATAATATATGTCAATTATTTTATTTATTTATTTATTTATTTATTAGGATTCAATTTTCAATAGCTAAGAAGGCCCCTACAACTCGGTCAAGCCACCACTTTAGTCGCATGGGTTGTGAACATGTCTCATCTACTGTCTCAAGGTCGACTAACATAGTAAACCTATTATGCATGGTTTCTTCTATACCTAACGTGGAAGCGCCAATACTTATAAGATGCCAGAGCCTTTAACGACGGTAATGTTCCCGTCTCAAAAACTCACTTTTTGCGACGGGAATTACGTGCCGTCGCGAAAAGTGATTTTTCCACCATTATTTGCGACGGGAAAAATGCCGTCGCAAAAAACTTGGCATACCGTCGCAGAAACTAATGGCGACGGTACATACCGTCGCCAAAGGTCTTTTGCAACCCTGTCTGTCGCGACCCCCCCTTACCGTCGCAAAAAGCCACATTACCGTTGCAAAAGACATTAGCGACGGCTTTCGGGGCATTTGCGACGGCCGTTTACCGTCGCAAAAAACAAATTTTTTTGTAGTGATCGACTGATGGAGCTTCGATCTTCGACTGGATCGAAAGGATGGAGCTCAATTGAGGACTTTGATCTTCGACTGGATCGACTGGATGAAGCTTCGACCCGGTTCTCTCTTGCTCTCACCTCTTTCATTTCTTTTGCACTGTAAAGAGCCGTGTCTGAGAGAGAATAGGCGAATCCGACACAGATCCCACGCTCACACCCGTGTCGTGTCGTGTCGACACGGGTACTTCGCCCCAAAATGCCGAGTCCATGTAACACAGGTTACAACCTAATTTTGAGTATGATCAATGGTTAAGTTTATTTTTTAGATTTAATGAAATGCACATAAAATGTTCCTTTTTTTTAAAAGGCATACATAATAAATTTTTGAGTTAAATTTATTTTACCTCCTTGTAGTTTGGAGCTAGAGAACTCTACTTCCATAGGGCTCGTTTGTTTGTTTTCAGAAATAGAATAGAGGAGATTTATAATGAGGGGTTTAATAATGAAGAGATTGTTAGTGAGAGGATTGATAGTGAGTAGATTAAGTAAAATTGTGTATGTTTTGATAATAGTTGTTAGTGTAGATATTGTTAAATTATTTTTATATAAAATAATAAAACAAATAAAAAAATACAAAAACATTAAACATTAAACATTAATGTTTTAAAAAAAATGCCCAACATGTATAAAATTTTAAAAAAATAAAAGATTTCAGGAAAAAAATAAAACAAATAAAATAATGATTTTACTTAACAAAAAATACAAAAAATTAAACATTAATGTTCAGAAAAAAATGCCCAACATGTAAAGAATAAAAAATAAAAAATTTATAGTCCGACAAACTATTTTTCTAATATTAAGTTTTGGAGACCCATCCGAATCCCCTCCCTAAGGGGATTCATAATTCGGAACTCACTATCAATTCCCTCCCCATCTATCAAAACAAACACAATATTAGTGGATCCCACCTCACTGTCAATCTCAATCCCAATCCCCCCCCTCTAACTCTCCAAACAAACGGGGCCATATGGTTCAAATATAACCAGAAAGTTCACATGTGATTTTGTGCTAAAGTATCAGCGTTAGATTTTCCATACAAATTAATGGAAAATGTATCACACACACCATTTATGAAAGTGGGATTGGTTTTATGAAAAAATAAAGTGAAATTATTACAATAAAAAGACAATTTTATCCTTATTTTCTCCAAACCTAAAATTAGATTAACATGTTAATTAAAATAAAATAAATTAAAAAATAATTAAGGATTGATCTAAAATATAAAATAATTAAATATTTTGAATTAATTGTGATCTAAAATATAATTAAATTAAAATTAGAATAAAAAGTTAAGAATTATAATAAATAAATAAATAAATAACTATAATGATTGTGATTTAATTGAATTAGTGTTAGATATATATTATAAATTATGTGTATGAGAGAGAGAGAGAGAGAGAGAGAGAGAGAGAGAGAGAGAGAGAGAGAGAGAGAGAGAGTATATGATTTGAGGATATTATAGTCATTTTGCATCTGTGGTTAACAGTGTTAATAGTTTCACTTTGGTTTAAAACCACATAGAAATTTTTTGACTATATTTAAATCGGAGGGGTAAAATGCTTTTGCGTCAAACTATAAAGAAGTAAAATGTATTGTACCCTACATTTTTTTTATATAAAGGAATGAAAATATTTAGAATTAAATTCATTTTACTTCTTTGCGGTTTGAGGTTAAATCACTTTACCCCCTATTTGGTTTAAATATAGTCAGAAACCTCCATGTGATTTTGAACAAAAATGCAACCGTTAAAACCATTTACTATAGATATGAAATGGTTGTAATACACTCAAATCTTATATATATTTGTTATTTTATTTCTCTCTCATCTTTCAAACACATAATTTACAATATCCAATATTAATTCAATTAAATCACAATTAATTATAAATTTTAATTATTTCTTGTAATTCTTAACTTTTTATTCTAACTTTAATTTAATTAAATTTTATGTCACAATTGATCTTAAATGTTTAATTATTTATTTTAATTCCTATATTTTAAATTTAATTTTAATTTAATTATATTTTCATAATTAATCCTAAATTTTTAGTTATTTATTGTAATTCCTAACATGTTAATCTAATTTTAATTTAAATATATTTCAGATCAATTTTTAATTTTTAATTAATTTTAATTTTAATTTAATTATATTTTAAATCAATTCTTAATTATATTTTATATTTTAGATCAATCATTAATTATATTTTGTTTTGTTTTGTTTTATTTTATTTTAATTAACATAATAATCTAATTTTAAGTTTGGAAAAAATGTGGGTGAAATCGTGTTTTTGTTGTATTAATTTCATTTTTTTTTTTTTGGAAAAACAAATCTACTTTAAAAAATAGTGTATATGATACACCTTTCGTTAGTTTAGATGAAAAAATTAACAGTGATACTTTAATCCAAAATTACATGAGAGCTTTCTAAAATGCTTTAGCCTCCAAACCACAAAGTGTAAAATAAATTTAACCACTGTAATTATGCCACATAAAATAATGAATAAAATCTCTAGCTCACCAATTGGATTGGAGGGTCCCATGATGGGTCCACCTCAAATCCATTTCATTAATTTAAGTTGTTTAATTTTTAGTCTTTTTGACTAATTGTTATGTACAAAAATATGATTTAATGGATTTTGATAATCACATATTTAAATTACATTTGTTTTAATTTTATTACATTTTTTAATAAATATTATTTTTTAACATTGATTTTTGATTTTCTGGTGGTGGTGGTGGTGGTGGTGTACCTGGAGATTAAAAGGTGGGCTGGGAGAACTCGGAAGTTGGTTCAATTAAAGATAGATGTTGACATTTTAAAATAAAATTTGATGATGTTATAGTTTTACATTGAAATTATTAGCTGTTGATTAACCAAATCAAAACAAAAACAAAAAACAAAAAAAATGAAACTGTTAAGAATAAGGAAACATAAAATATATGGAAAGTTAATGTAATTACAATTTTAAAAATTAATATATTTTTCAAATTTTAAGAGAGTTGGTATAATTTATTCTAAAAAACGGAGTTACAAAAAAAAAAATGACAAACTTTCAATTCAGTGTAAATTAAAAAAACAATTATAAATAAATGGTAAATTTTATAAATATTAATTATTAAAATTATAATTTTTACCATGAAATTGTAATATATTTTTTTGGAAATACCATTGTGTGGTAATTTTCCCCCAAAAAATCCTCTACTAGTACACAAACATTATACAAAAAAATGTCACATAAAAAATGTGTTAATGATAGTTTTATAAACAAACACTATTTTAACAGTAAATCTAGGAATAGATGTATCAATAGACGGGGGGAAGGCTTCTCTACAGTTTAAATCAGACTGGAGTATATTGTTGGATCTTTGTTGGCTCACCACGAACTCTACATTAATGATCTGATCCGTTTGATGTGTAGAACTCGTCTAGTACTTTATTCTTGTAAAAAATCATATTAATCGGATATCGATAACTATTTGATTAAATTATATTAAATACCCAATAGGAGATAAGCTTGAAACACAAAAATTGGATTCATTTTTTTAAGTCTAACCAGCTTGTATTTTAACATGTTAAACTTTTTGTAATTTTTAGTATAAAAATCATATATAAGTCGAATTTGCTGATCAATTTTCTAGATCAAGTGATGTATAAATAAAATAATTAATGAATTATTAAATATGATATAAGAGAACCTTTTTTAAAAAATATTTTAATAAACTATAACATTACACAATTTAAAAAGTGAGTTTAATTTTTAACTTGAATAGTGCTACAGTATTGCTCTTATTTTCATAGACATTTAATTTTAAAATAAAAGCTCAATATCAAGACACACCATTGTATATTAAAATTTTATAAAAATAAAAAATAATAAAATCCTGCTAGTATATCGATAATTTCAGTACGCACCTTTGAGTGGCGCAAAACCCTTCTGTATGAGTTGGGGATAAGCCACAAGGCCCATTAAGGCAGTAGCACTGCCAGGGAAGAAAAAAACAGCAGGTATGCCCACTTCTTCAAGCAAGGATCCTCTAGAGTGATTTTTTCTTAAAATTTCCTAGAGTGCTACATTGTGTGGTTGAGATTTACTGGCAAGTCACATCAATTTTTCTGATGTGACTTGCCAGTAAATCTCAATCACACAATATAGCACTCTAGGAAACTTTAGGGAAATTTCACTCTAGAAGATCCTTGGTGCACTTCTTCAGCCACTTTCTGAGTAAAGCTCATTGTCCCATCTGAAACTATGCATGTCACCGGAGGTACGTCCGATGAAGCAGCAGTGTCGTGGTTGAGTTTGGCGACTAAGATTCTGAAGGGATCTATAAAGTTGTGCAAAATGGAGTGACAGAGTGCCGGGATGTCCTGCGTGGCGTTGGCCTCTGAGGGAGGGAGGTCGTCGGGAATGGTTTCGAAGCGGAAGGAAGCGGTGCCAGAGAGGGAGTGGGGGCCCTGGGACTTGATGAGGCGGCGGTGGTTGAATTCGGTGCTGATGAAGGTGATGTGGAAGCCCTTGTGGTGGAGGAGCTTTGCTAGTTTCAGCATTGGGTTGATGTGGCCTTGTGCTGGGTATGGTATGCACACCACATGAGGAGGACATGAGTTGTGTGTTTGTTGCTGTGCCTTAGAAGAACTCATGTCTCTTCTTGGCATGATTAATCTTTTAACACATTGGAAAGAGCTACTTTGCAGAGCTTATATAGAAGAAAATGCGAAACACAAACAAACCAGTGATCTGTTATTAAAAAAAATTAAAAAAAAAAAAAAAACACAAACCAGTGAGGACCAATGATGTCTCACATTAGGGGTGAGCAGCGGATATACCGATCCGTCAAAACCGACCAAACCGAACTGATCCGCCGCATTTTAGACAGATGCGTGATGATGAGCGGACGGTTGCAGATGGATTTTCCCCAATCCGCCAATTTGGCGGACGGATAGCGGATTTGAGATTCCTTTGGCCGCAACCGAACCGCCAAACTGCGAGCACACCTAGTAATTTATAAGACTTTATGTTTTCAATTTGTTTAAATATTTTGTTTGTGTTTTCAATTGAAAAAGAATTCAAATATTCTGTTGAAAAAAAGTTTTTAACTTGAATATATTTTTTGAATTGAAAAAAATAAACGTATTATTCATCTATATTTTTTTATTTTTAAATCTAACTCTAAAAATAATAAAAAGAAAATATGATATATGTTGGTTGGTTTTTGTTTTCAAAAACATATATAGATGTAACAATACAGAAACATACAATCTCTACTACTGCTCTATTTATGGTTTTGGTGGTTTGAATTGTTATTATATTTTAAGAATCACAAATTATAATACTTTATGTGGATGAATCATGCAGTGATTGTAATATGTGGATGAGACATGCAGTGATTGTGATATTCTAAAATTTCAAACTTTATAAACTTTCTTTCTTTGGATAAGGCATACAGTGATTGTAATACTTTTTTAAGTCATTGACTGTAATGCTTTTTTTTTTTTTTTTTTTTTTTTTGAGGAAGTGCACAAGTTGAATTATGTTGAAAATTTATAAAATTTTAAACCGCCAAATCAATTTGCATCCATCCGCCAAACCGCCAATCCGCTCAATCTACATCCACCGGATTGACGGACGGATACGGATTGATTTTCTCCAATCCGCCAATCTAGCGGACGAATGGCGGATTGGAGGTTCCGTGGCCACAACCGACCCGCGCCCACCCCTATCTCACACACGTGGGCACTTTAGGAACTCAAAATGGTAGATAAGGTTGGGAATACTGGTGCCGTTTGGTAACACTTACGTTTTCAGTTTTCTATTTATATTTACAAAAATTTTAAAAACTCAAATAAAAACTTGTTTGGTAAAATTTTTGATTTATAAATCAGTGATCTCAGTTTATAAATTTGGCCAAAAAATGAAAACACAAAAAATGTGTTTCCATTTTGAGTTTTCAGTTTTTTTTTTTTTTTTACCACCCAACACTAGCCACCACCCGTCACCATTTTCCTCTACATTAATGATCTGATTCGTGTAAGACTCATCTAGTATTTTATTCTTGTAAAAAATTATATTAATCGGATATCGATAATTATTTGATTAAATTACATTAAATACAAAATAGGAGATAAGCCTAAAACGCAAAAATTGGATTCATTTTTTTAAGTCTAACCAGCTTGTATTTTAACATGTTAAACTTTCTGTAATTTTTAGTGAATTTGGTGATTAATTTTCTAGATCAAATGATGTATAAATAAAATAATTAATGAATTATTAAATATGATATAAGAGAACTTTTTGCTTTAAATATTTTAATATACTATAACATTACACAATTTAAAAAGTGAGTTTAATTTTTAACTTGAATAGTGCTACAGTATTTCTCTTATTTTCATAGACATTTAATTTTAAAATAAAAGCTCAATATCAAGACACACCATTCTATATTAAAATTTTATAAAAATACAAAATAATAAAATCCTACTAATATATCGATAATTTCAGTACGCACCTTTGAGTGGTGCAATACCCTTCTGTATGAGTTGGGGATAAGCCACAAGGCCCATTAAGGCAGTAGCACTGGCAGGGAAGAAAAAAACAGCAGGTATGCCCACTTCTTCAGCCACTTTCTGAGTGAAGCTCATTGTCCCATCTGAAACTATGCATGTCACCGGAGGTACGTCCGATGAAGCAGCAGCGTCGTGGTTGAGTTTGGCGACTAAGATTCTGAAGGGATCTATAAAGTTGTGCAAAATGGAGTGACAGAGTGCCGGGATGTCCTGCGTGGCGTTGGCCTCTGAGGGAGGGAGGTCGTCGGGAATGGTTTCGAAGCGGAAGGAAGCGGTGCCGGAGAGGGAGTGGGGGCCCTGGGATTTGATGAGGCGGCGGTGGTTGAATTCGGTGTTGATGAAGGTGATGTGGAAGCCCTTGTGGTGGAGGAGCTTTGCTAGTTTCAGCATTGGGTTGATGTGGCCTTGTGCTGGGTATGGTATGCACACCGCATGAGGAGGACATGGGTTGTGTGTTTGTTGCTGTGCCTTGGAAGAACTCATGTCTCTTCTTGGCATGATTAATCTTTTAACACATTGGAAGGAGCTACTTTGCAGAGCTTATATAGAAGAAAATGCGAAACACAAACAAACCAGTGATCTGTTAAAAAAAAAAAAAAACACAAACCAGTGAGGACCAATGATGTCTCACACACGTGGGCACTTTAGGAACTCAAAATGGTAGATAAGGTTGGAGATACTAATTTTTTACCAAATAAATAACATATTTGGCCATTTATTTGTTAAAAAATTTAGAATTTATAACATTCTCCCAAAATGTTTCCTGGTCAGGATTGATATTTAAATATAAGGTATATTACACTTACAGCCTTCTATATCTTTGAAATAGCACTGACACCCTTTTATTTTTTGAAATGAGACTACCTTCACTTTAGAAATTTACATAACACCTTAATCCTTCTGTTTATTGACTACATAGAAATTGTTAACAGCATCTGTTTATTGACTACATAGAAATTGTTGGCAACATCCAAAAAAAGACATGTTAATGCCAATTTTGTCCTTCAAATGCCAACCTGCTCTTCTTTTCTTCTCAACCCAAAGCCCCACCACTGTTCACCATCACCTCGCATCCATGTCTATCACTCCATAGTCCACTACTCCCTACACAGTCTTGAAATCCCTTTTTCCCTCCCTTCATGTTGGGACTTATGAATTGAATACTATCATACATAATAAATAAATATATATATGAGGCAATCAACAAACAATTTGTTCAGTTTAAAACAAACTAGTGTACAATCGGTGCTATACATAGGATTAAATAATAATAGATAAATTTATTTCTTAATTAATAAAAAATAATTTAAAATGATAGATAAGTAAATTTTAAATATTTTAACTAAGTGTATCTCTAATGGTTGTTGCTATAATACTGTGGGGATATATTTTTTGAGTACCAACATGTGGCCAAGGTGACGCCGACGTGTCACGTGTCTTGGTCATGACGCCGAACTTATCTCGGCAAGGCCGAGGTTATCTCCGAAGATATCAGAATCTGAGATAAGCAGATAGGGCACAAGAGTCCTAGAATGATGAAGGGACTCAGCCTGGATAAAGATAAAGCTCTTAGGGAGTTTATCTCTATCTATTGAAGAGTCTTGGATAAGCACTGAGCTAAAGTCCATTGAAGCTGTGCTTCTGTTGGGATAAGGATTGAGTTAACTATAAAAGAAAGGCACCCCCGATGGGTCTAAGGTACGCAATTTATATTTTAAACAGTGAGTTTAGCACTATTGATTATCTTTGAGAGGTATACTGACTTGATCGTCAAAGTGCCCCCGGGTAGACGAACCACTGCCGGAATCTTCTCTTTCTGTTGCAGGTCAGCCAGGTGTCATCTATTCTGCCAGTACTCTCCAGCTGATTACTGAGTTGGCAGTGTGGTCAGAAAATCACTCACACAATGTGGCACCGTCTGTGGGAAAGAAAGAAGAATAGATAGCCAACGACGGACAGAAGGAGAAGGTTGGGGACGACACTCCTAACGGGAGTTGGAGGCCTATTGACGTTGACGTCGAAAAGGACAATTGCAATGAAGACCAGAATCACGGAGTAAAAGACGTCGGCCAAGAAGGCGACATACCAAAGCAAACAGACCAAAGCGAGTACTATAACGACGATAACCTCCAGATATGGAAGGACAGATGCCTACGGAGGGACGAAGAGGTTAAAGAGATGGAAAACAAGTTGGCGGACCTGCAATCGGTCGTCAACTTCATGATGCAAAACAATGTCATGCAGCCATCATTCCCGCTGCATGACACGCCGATTCCAGCGGCCAATGCCCAGAAGGGAGGACAGAAAACTATCCCTATAGCCCCCCAGCACCCCAAAAGTGAAAAGAATTCTCACCGGCCTTCAAGGGAGGTCGGACGTGGAGAGCCAGGAAGGGAAGAGTCTCGAAGGACACATCGCACCAAGGAGGCAGACCCCAGAGAACATCGGCATGTTCAGAGGCAGGAGTTATGCTTCGACGTAACCAATGGAGAAAGATCAAAAAGGGCTCACAAAGAAGCTGATAGCAGTGCACCTAAGAGACTGAAATCAGGAGATAGCCGAGCTCTTGAGCGGACCAAAGAGGACTTAAGAGATTACCTCAAGAGGAAACAAGATCATGCCGAGGTAACTTCAACAATTAAATCGAGAACACCATTCTCGGTAGAGTTGGACAAATTTGAGGCTCCAAATAGATTCAATATGTCGAAGTTCCAGATATACGACGATAAGTCAGACCCCAACTTTCACGTTGGATTATACCTGAACACAATGGCATTATATAGTGGGAACGAGCCATTACTCTGCAAAGTGTTCCCCTCATCCTTCGGGGAGATTGCATTAGACTGGTTTCACAAACTACCAAAGGGAAGTGTGAAGACCTGGGAAGGCCTGGCCAAGATGTTTGTGGCCAGGTTCGTGACAAACAAGCTACAGCCATTAAGGGTAGATGCATTGATGGCTCTAAGAATCAGTAAGGATGAAGGCCTTAGGGCCTATGCAAAAAGGTAGTATGAGGTGTTCAACCGAATACCCGAGTACAACCAAGAGGTGGCGGTCGTGTCTTTCAAGAACGGCCTAAAAGATGACTGTCTACTACGAAAATCTTTGGCAAAGACATTGCCAAAAAACATGGAGGAGCTCATGGCCAGAATTGAGAAATATGCCAGAGCCGAGGAAGATATATCAGGGGCTAAGGAGACAAAGCAAGAGAAGGAAAACGGCTCGCCGAAGCGAGGCCGAGGTAATAACGGATCCAACAAGCAGGAGGTAGAACTAAGGGCTGCATAGGCAGTCACAACTATGTTCCGAATCCCAATTCACAAAGTCCTGGATAAAATCCGAACCCAACCCTATTTCAGAGCACCAACAAGGGTACCTGGAGAATTTATGGGACGGAGCCTGGGTAAGCATTGTGCTTACCATAACGAAGATGGGCATCTGACTCAGGGTTGCAGAGCCCTAAAGTCACACCTAGAAGACCTGGTAAGGTAGGGCCATTTGAGGGACCTTGTAGACGAGGCCAGGACCAGAGAAAAGCAGACAAGACTACCTCAGGCACTAGTAACTCCACCTCCCCCAGCACAGCAACCTCAGGCAGGAGGACCTCAGGAAGTTAATGTCATTCACTCGAAGGTCAACAAAAACGAAATTCGGGGAGAGACCCAAAAGGTAAAACACCTACAACATGTCTACCAAGTCGAGGAGAAGAGACATTGGGCAGAGGAGTGCCAGGGACCGGTAGTGTCCTTTACAGAAGCCGACCTTGAGATGGTACAACATCCGTACAACGATGCCTTGGTAGTATCCCTCCAGGTTGGGGAGTGCCAAGTGAAACGCATCTTAATTGACCAAGGCAGCTCTTGTGACATCATGTATGTTAGATGTTACAAGGACCTGGGCCTTCACCCAGATGATATGGAGCAATCTAACGGCCTGATGGTCGGGTTCAATGGAACGCCGACATGGCCACTGGGCGCAACAAGCTTGGAGGTGCAGGTTGGCACCAAGAAGATAAAGACAGGGCATGGGATAGAAGAAGTCAAAGGGGATCAGCTGCAGGCAAAGAACTGTTCCATGGCAGCAATGAAATCCACCTGCAGCATACGAGAACCAGAGAAGGCAAAGATCGAAGATGAGGACGTGGAGGTCCTAGAGGATGTCGACAAAGAGCCAGCCGAGAAGAATGAAGAAGCATTTAAGAAAATCCTCATCCAGAAGGAGGATAAAGAATGCTTCTTTCTTCTCGGCTCGGGCTTAGCCGAAGAAGAGGAAAAAGAGTTGGAGGCGTTCCTGAGAGAAAATATTGAGGTGTTTGCCTGGACGCCTTACGAAATGCCTGGCATTGACCTCGAGGTCACTTTCCATAAACTGAACGTTGACAGGTCAGCTAAACCTGTAATTCAACGAGCAAGAAGACCGACGTTGATGCACATCGAAGCAGTGGAAGAAGAAGTAGACAGACTTCTGGAGGCTAAAATTACCCGACATGGCTATCAAATACAGTGGTGGTGAAGAAAAAGAATGGTAAGTAGAGAGTCTGCATGGACTTTACCAGCCTGAACAAGGCCTGTTCTAAAGACAGTTTTCCTCTACCCAAGATTGGCCAATTGATAGACGCCACTTCGAGGCATGGAAGGATGAGCTTCCTGGATGCCTACAGGAGATACCATCAGATAGCAATGCATCCCCCAGATGAGGAGAAAACTGCATTTATCACCCCAAAAGGGCTGTATTGCTACAGAGTGATGCCTTCTGGGTTGAAAAACGCAGGAGCAACTTACCAAAGATTGGTAACCAAGATGTTCAAATACCTGATTGGCGGAACGGTGGAAGTTTACATCGATGACATGGTTGTGAAGACTAAGGAACCGGAAGGCCATTTGACCGACCCAAAAGCAGTCTTTGACATCCTTAAAACATACCGGCTCTGACTCAATGCATCGAAGTGTGCATATGGAGTTGGATCTGGTAAGTTTTTAGGATACATGGTGACCAGAAGGGGAATTGAGGCCAGCCCAGATCAAATTAAGGCCATCCTTGAGTTGAAAAGCCCGACGTCGGCAAAACAGGTACAGATGCTAACTGGAAGGGCTGCAGCCCTGAATAGGTTCATAAGCAGAAGCTCAGACAAATGCAAACCTTTATTCAACTTAGTGAAGAAGGCCACGGACTTCTTATGGACAGAGGAATGCGAAGTTGCCCTGGCCGACTTAAAGAAGTATTTGACCACGGCTCTAGTTCTTTCAAACCCAGAACCTGGAGAGGAGTTGTTCCTATACTTAGCAGTTTCAGAGCATGCGATGAGCGCAGTGGTAATCCGAGAAGAAAAAGGGGAGCAAAGGGCTGTTTACTATGTAAGCAAAACCCTGGCTGATGCAGAAACCAAGTATTTACCCCTAGAGAAGTTGGCACTGGCATTAGTAATGGCTTCAAAGAAACTAAACCATTATTTTCAAGCCCACAAGATTGTAGTACTAACAGAA